GGGTCAAAGGGTGGATCTCCAGACAAGAAGAAAGGAGGCAAGCAAGGAGAACCAAAGAGGAAGTCAGGAAGACAATGGATCCCTCTGGTTGTCTACAGCTCAACCAGGTGCTTCAACATATTCGCACACCCTCTCGGAGAAATAAAGGATGTTGTCAAATGAGACGATAAACTGCAGTAGCCACACATGATTACACTGCTTGCATTTCCTTATATGCTAAATCGAAATTGGTGAGTGAGCTTATTGGCTCTGGGAGAATTATAAAAAGCACTAAAGCCTAGAATTACAACCCTTCTATTATGGATTAAATTATGTCTCCACATTTATATGTTGGAGTCTTTATACAAAGCACCCACAACGTGGTGTTTTAATTGAGGACAATAGAGTGGGCCTTAGTCCAATATGGTTGGTGTCTTTAAAAGAGAAAATTGGTGTAGATGTCCACAAAAGGACAATAAATAAAGAGACTCAGGGATAAGATAGCCAACTGCAAAGGAAGTCTAGAGACAGAGGTTGGAGCAGAGCCTTCCTTCAGAGTTCTAGGAAAGAACTAACCACGATATCTTCATTTAAAACAGTGGTTCTCAACCTGTGGATTTTGACCCCTGTGGGGGGTCAAAAACCCTTTTCCAGGGGTCACATATCAGATACCGTGCTTATCAGATATTTACGTTATGATTCATAACAGTAGCAACATTACAGTTGTAGAGTAGCAATGAAAATAATTATATGGTTGTAGGAGTCTCCACAACACGAGGAACAATACATTTCTGTTATTTAAGCCACACAGTTTGTGTTACTTTGCTACAACAATCTTAGGAAAGAAATCTTCTACCAGAACTTCTGTGAACAAACTTCTACCTCTATGCAACTGCAGCTGTGACTCTTAGGATCTGGCATTCCTCTCCCCAGCTCTACCTAGTCTCAAATGAAGTCCTTAATGAGTACCCATGTCAGGACTGTCACAGGCAGGGGCAGGTCCTCAAAGCATTCATATTCTCTTTGGGGTGAGAAACCAGGGAGTCACCTTAATAAGAGAGGTCACAACTATTAAAGACAACAAATGTAATTAGCACCAAGTTCTCTTCTGGGAGTATTAAGTGCAGATTTATAAAATAAAATTTGCATTTAAGATGTTTGTCTGTTTACCCCTCAAAACTGCATATTATCTCCCAGTTCTCAATAGTACTTACTAAAGTACAACTTTTGGGGGGTACTAATATAAAGTCCTAATTTTAATTCACCCCAGAGCTTCATGAAAACACATTAATTGTTGGAGAATGAAAGAATTTAGAGACTGCTACTGAAAGGTTCAGGCATTACGCTGGCCTGCCCTGTTACCTGGCAGGATGCACTCAGGCAGCACCCTAGCCAGTCCAGAGTTTTGTGAGAACCACGCAGGTACAAAGGACCCCTTTAAAGGACTGACCCCTGTCCACTTAGGCTCTTTTACTCTTGTCTTCCTCTCCATCTCATCTTCTCTCTTACTCTCATCTCTTTCTCTCTTACTCTCTTACTCTCGCCATCTCATCCTCTCTCTTTCTCCCTCACTCTCTTACTCTCTCTCTCTCTTACTTTTATCTGTCTCTCGTATCTTATCTTTCTCTCTCAGCTCTGCATGGGTTGGTTACCTCTCACCCCCCCTTTCCCTCCTTGTCCACCAATAAAACTCCACATGGAGTTTGAGTTGAGTCACGGTTTGTGTCTCATTATTGGGTAAACCTAGACATTTTAACAATAGCTTCAGAAGAACAAAACAAATGAATCCATGTTCATTATTGTAGGAGGAAGTCTGATGCCGCCATTAAACATGTGACTTATTAGAGGCGCATACAGATGAGGTAATAAAAGGGCGGTTTACCACACCGCTAACCACACCCACTTTAGGCAGGACTAAAGATGTATACGGCTGGACGTAAAGACGTATACGTACGTAGGCGGAACTACGTCACTAGCCAGGCCCACTTTTGGGCATGGCTAGGGGCGTTATGGGGGGGAAGGCATAAAAGACAGCGCACAGGAAGTCTCGCTCTCTTTTCCTGGAGCTCGGCTTCCGCGTCCGGTAAAGCCTACACATTATCCATTTGTTGTGAATATATTATAATACTTATTTCTATATGTCTATATTATCTACCAAAAATGGCTAGAGTAGGGTACATAAAAATTTTCTTCATGAAAACTCAAAGGATCTGAGGTATAAGAAATTTAAAAATTCTTTATTCCCTTTCTGTGATATATATAGTATGTATATATTTTCAATTGGTATAATATATATTACCTTTTAAATATTAAAAATAATAATGTTCCAATGTTCCATAAGTAATAAACTAAGAAGGTGAATTATCACCTATTACATGGGAAATACATCAAGCATAGCACTACATATATTTCATGTCTTTGCCTTATTGGTTTCATAACACACTGCAGAAACAAGGATGAGATTAGAGATGACTGCAAGATGAGCTCCGTAGTTACAGAATATTGAGAAATACCAGGTCACACAAAGTTAACCAGTGTCCTGTATAGACTGTCCTGCAGCCTCCAGCATGTGCATATGCATTGCACATTGCCAAGTTCCCAGTGTTTCTTAACTACAGAACTCCCTTCTCAAGAGGACACTCTCAGAGATTCCATTCTTCACATATGCCAGGGAAACCCTGCTTGGTGTGGGAGAGGGTGACTATTGTTGAAGAAGATGATTAAAGAAATGGATTGTGGAGCCCATGGTTTCCCTACCAGGATGGCAGGATTGTTTTTCCTTCCAAGGTTCCACATTTTGAAGGGAAGGGAATCCTGATATGCTGCAATGATCATAGCTTCATAAAACTTTGTCTCTTTGACTCCATCATTGAATTCATAATGTTGCCCCTTATTTTCTAAGAACATTAGAAGTTTGTGGGATAAAAAAATCCTAGACATAGAAATTCAGATGTTTGCATTTATGTAAGGACATGAATTATTGTCTTAAGTACACCAAAATACACTCTTATGATTTGGATGTTACAAATTCTTGATACTATGATGCTCTCCCAAGACACATGGGACCAAAAAACAAAAAAACAAACAACACAACTAAAACTCCCATGGACTCCTTCAGAAACCCAACCAAGCCATGTCTTTCCTCCTTTAATTTGTATTTGTCAAATATTTCCTCTCACAGGCTCAAACATCACCAACACAGTCACTATTTTATATGCACATAAGTCTAGAAGACAAAGAAGAAAAGAGGTAAATGGGAAATGACGTATTTATTAATCTATTCTACTCAAAGCACACATTGTGATGAACATGTGGATAAAATAATAAGCCAGAGGGACAAGGCTCCTGTTGTCACACAGCTGCCACTCAGGGAGACTTGGGCTTGTATTAATGCTATCACTAATTTGTTTTATGGCCTCAAACAAATCACACAAAGTCCAGGCCTCCATGTCTTCCTCTTTTAAATAGCCACATTAGACCTCTCATTTCTATGCATTTTAGCCATAAATACTTCATTTGAATAAGAGCAAGGAAAGTGTTCATCATGTGTCCCAGGCACTGTGACTCAGTGGGTGTTGACAACCAAGTAGAGTAATGAGAACATCTATAAAATGGAGATTAGCTGAAGCTGCCACACCCAAAGCAAGGTGAAGAGACATTCATGTGCTGAGCATGAGTAAGCCAGTATGGAAGGTCAGTGGCAGATAGGGGAGATGTCACCCGTGTGGGACACCTATTGTGAGAAGTCAGAGGTAGACAAGAATAGGGCACCCTTTGTGTTGGAAGCTGTCTTCGTGGGGCTGCAATCAGAGCCAGCTGAGGAACCCCAGGTTTGTACCTGAGTGGGGGAGTGTGGATGAGGGAAAGTCTAGCTAAAAGGAGTTAATAGCAGACACAGGATAGCTCTTGGGAGGGTGGATTCAATCCATACTGAGTGCGCCTTTAGTTTATCTTACAGCATTTTATGTATTCGGCCAACAGTGAGGACAAAATGGCAGAAGACCTCTATTATCATGTATAAAGGGCAAAGATATTTACTTAATCCTCCAGGTATTTGGTAGCCATACCTGCCATCCAGCCTTCAGGGTCAAGAGTAAATGCACCTGGGCTCAAACCTATTGTTATTTAGATAAGAGACATTCACCATCAAGGTCAAAGCATCCTGTAGCCACTGAGCTATAGACTTAAGGACATAAAGACATTTTAAAACTCTCTGACCATTAGTCAAAATGAAATGGTCTCCTTTTCCTGGGTCCTGACACCTTTGGAGATGAAGAATCCCTTCACAGGTGATCCACTCAGCAGACAAGTCAGGGGCTGAGTTAAGTGAGCAAGACATCTGCTGAATGGCAGACTTGTCTCGGGCACCCACACATAGATGTGGCTGGCAGAAGAGAGCAAGATTAGTTGCATATAGGATGATAGGTCAAACAGGCAAGCATTTGAACAATGAAGCCAGCTACTACTTCTGAGCTTCCTGAGTCGTGTAGTTTTTGTTAACTTCCTGAGCTGTGTAGTTTTGTTGTGCCCAAATTCTGAAACCCCCAGATCACCAAGAGACCCATTCTGATGCAAAAGCAAAGAGTCTTTTATTGTTTAATGAGCTAACCCCAGTATCTCTGGCCCTTCATCCAATCATCATGGCAGGTAGCTGGAGAAGGACCCAGAGAAGCCACAAGGCAGGGAATATATTGGATAGAGCAAGAGGAGTGTCTAGGGGTACACAACAGTCTCAGGATTGGTGCACTTCCGGGCTTGGACAACCTGTCCTGTGTTGATTGGTCAACTGGTTGTTGTGGCCTTTAGACCCTCCCAGGATGGTTGCTATGCTCTGCATATCACTGTTGTGCACTTGTACCATAAAGCACACCCAGAGCCGTAAAGCACAGCCCCGCCAGTAACTTCTGATTGGTTCCTTGCCGCAAGGAGGGATCTGACCTCCTAGTGACTGGGGCAGGCCCAGCAAGGTCAGGCAAGCATATGTTGAGTCGTTTCTGCAGCCTGCCATGGCTGCTAAAGCAGGGGGTGGTCCCTTCAGTTTTTGTTAACTTCCTGAGTTGTGTGTTTTTTGTTAACCTCCTGAATTGTATAGTTTTTGTTAACTTCCTGAGTTGTATAGGTTTGGCTAACTTCCTGAGTTGTGCAGGTTTTTATAACTTAAGGGGTGGGAAGTGGAAAAGTATGTGGAGGGAAGACGGATGTTTCCTAGTCACCCCTGTCCTTCCCATCCCTCTCCCGAACCTCTGATTCAAAGGCCAGAGAAGTGGAAACTAGCTGGTGGCTTTCCCTTCAACAGGATACTATGTGAGTTCACCTGAGAAGTAACAGCCATCATAATGCACTAGTAACCTTGGAAGTGGAAAGAGCTCCCTCTTCTGGTGTCCGAAGATGTGTCCTCCTGTGAGCCTGAGCCTGGGAGAGATATTGAACCTTCAACACTTATCGGTGGTTCCTTCCTAGAGGCTAATGGATGTTGGTGAGTTGCCATGTGTTGAAATGTAATGGGGAAAATATAAGTCCCCAACTAAGTGAGATGACAGGAGACTACAAGCAGTTCCCACTAGAAGGGGACCTAAGATCATTGTCTTAAGAAAACTGGGAACTAGATGGCCGCCTGACCTACCAATCGTAAATCCCCCTGACCACAGATTATGTGACCGGAAGCTTGGATCTGGACTATCTGCTGCTATCCCCTTACCATGAGAAGACAGGGAACCAGAGAGCCTCTTGCCCTAACAATCATAGAACTTCTAGATCTCAGGATGTGCTCTGGTCTGAGCCCCTAGCCCACAAATGTGCCAATTAATTTTACCTAACCGGGTGACAGTTACTGCCTTCTTCAAGGTCCTTAGTTTCATGATAACCCTGTGTGGAAACTTTGTGTGCTAAGTAATCTATGTAACCATGGGAACCTTACAAACTGAGACTTGTCTCAGGGCTCGCCCTCCTCTTTTTCTCTTTAAAAGTGCCTTGCATTTCCGGTTCGGGGTTTCAACCTTCCCAACAGAGTTGGGGCCCCAGCTAGCTGGTTTTCCTTCTAAATAAAAACCTTCTTGTACTTGCATTCAGGTGTCATTAAGTTCCTTGAAGCCTTGAGGTCCCTCTCTTAGTTGGCACAACAGTGTGATGTTTAAACTTACTGAAAGCTGACTCGGGGAGAGGGAGACACCTCCTTGTCTCAGGTCTCAACGTGTTTAATTGTCCTATAAATCTCCTTGTCCTAGGGCATGATGAACCCTTAAATCTGTGGAAAAAAGGAAAACTGCAAACAGGTAAGGATATTAAAACATGTGCCCTTCTCATACACCCCCACAGCAGTCAGGAGAAATAGTAGAGCTTGCCCTGGCCATGAGTGAGGGGGCCCTAGAGCAGGAGAACTGGCCCTGTTCCTTGCTGTAAGCTGCACTGGTGAACTAATTAAGGCAGTACTGGAGAGTTCATCCAGGTAGTGACAAGGAGGAAAACCTAATGACCCGACCAACACAACTACCAGGTCCAGAACTAGGACTGTGAGTTGGCCCACTACAGCATCTACCGAATTTATGAACTGTTGGAGCAAGCCAAGGGGACCAACCTACAGATCCAAAACAGCAGCATCTCCATGACACAGGACAGCAACAGGATATCCAAGAGGAGCACCACTGAGAGCCCATTGTCAGTGGGGTGACATAGCAGAAACCAGAGGCCTGGAGTCAAACTTGTGGCAATGAATACTTGCAAGTAAAGACAATAGACTAAAGGGTAAACTGTGTGACTGCACAGGCCACACTATAGCTTCCACTACAAGATTCTTCTCTTTTTGTTTGTTTTTGTTTCTGTATTTATTTTTGTTTGGTTCATTTTGGTTTTGGTTTTTCTTTCAAATTTGGTTTTGTTTAGGGGAGAAGTTTGCAAGGGCAGAGGGAGGATGTGAAGGGATCAAGAGATGAGTGAGATTAGAGTGCATGATGTAAAATCCACGAAGAACCAATAAAAGTAAAATTAAAAAAAAACAAGTAAACAAAACCCATTGTGCACTTGAGAATGGCAGAAGGGAGAAACCCTTTCCCAAAGAGGTTGCTTTTGTCTGTTCTATTCCATGGTAAAAGAAAACCATAGTGAGAGAGGCAAACAGAAGCTCACTGATAGGAAAAAACTCTCTGTTGGGCCCTCCAATTGACTGTCTCAGTGAGGCTTCCCTGGTACATTTCCGTGGGCCGTCATAAGCTCCCAATTTAATAATGTCAACCTTTATTTGCTCTCAATCAGGCCACGCCAGCTGTCAGTTATATGCTGTCACATGACTTGATGTTTTGCAATATATATGCTGCCTTTGTCTATACGACAGCATTTGTTCTTTATCTTTTATATTTGTTATTTGTTTACTGAATGAGTACTTTCAAAACTGGAAATATGGGTATCATATAACATTTTCTGGACCATACAGAGCATGACCTTTTAGAGGCCACCTTCCTTTCTATGCCTGTAGCTCACTGTCCACTGCAGTAGTGGGTAGAAGATTCCACAGGTGAAATAGCACGGAAGAGGGGTATGGTCTTCTTCAGCTTTACAGAGTAGTGACTAGGAGGATTTTATTTCTAACACTAGAGGTCTGCAAAGCGTATGACCTAGGTCTGAGCTTTAGAGATTGTGACAGAAGAAGGGAGTCTGAAGTAGCAGGGGGAAAATGTTGTAAACACAACCTTAAAGCACCTTCAAACCTAAGCTGAGAGGTAGATGGTAGGAAGGAAGGGTAGTTAATAAGATGCATATATGCAAATAAAATGTTCAGTTGTTAGGTTGAGAGTACAATATATGGCATAGTTGTTCATCGGATTTCAAATCAGACTAAAGGAATTTAATTTTAATTCTCAGAGTCAAAACTCTGAGTGTAGAGCTAATGAATGCAGACTCTAACAGACAAAGGGAACATGGATCTGTTTCTAAATTGGGAATAGGTTGCTTCATCCTAAATTGCTAAGACCTTCTATTAGTTGCATGAGCTTATCTCCCGTGTGTTTTGGATTCAGTGTATTTTGGCTTCAGACATGATAAGCAAATAGGAAATGGTTTCAGCTTTACACCTACATATTTGCCAAACCTTATCCACACATGTCTTTTAGGACATTTGAAAAGAGGCTAGGAGACTCAAATGGGGGAAAAACAGATAAGGGGCAATTTCTTACTTCCATTCTAACATTTGCTTAGTTATAGACTCTTTTCTGTGAGTCATGTGCAACCTTACCACACATATGTAGACCCACTTCAAGCCATTTATATGTATGTAGACCTGCTTCAAGCCATTTATGGGCAAACTCCTGATAGCTACCCTTTTTACTGTTGGTTGGCTTTAAAAGAGAGTGGGCCATGAGTCATCAAGATATATCACTTTGATAGGTATGAAAAGTAAATGATCCTATCAAATAGGATATACATGTGTGGAAAATATAGGATTACATCAAGTTCATAAGTCTTTGTACCTCCAAGACTGTTTAAAGCTCATATTTAAACACACATGTTAATTGGGATAGTTTCCCATTCATCTCAATTTGGGGAACTGTGTGTACTACACCTTTCTGAGGGAACATTCTCTGTGAGTGTCTGTCCTCCTGTAGGCTGTCAGAGGAGCCCAGAGCAGCCAACTCACAAAGGTGCTATTATGCTGAATATCATCCCTTTAGCATTTGACATCCACAGAGTGGAAGCTGAGGCTCAGAACCAGGCTCTCCTTTTTGTAATTCCTCTTACTTCCCGCATAAGATGAAGAAGGAAGTTCTTCTGCATAAATCTGTCTTCCAGGGAAGGTTGTCACCTCTACAAATTCAAGGGTTAAACAATAATGCAATCTTGAGTTACTTGAAAGGCTGCATGACCCTGACTCAGATAGTGTACACCTTGTTCACAGAAAGTTGGGACACAACCTGTGTGGACCATTTGACACTTGGCACAAACAAATTCCCATTTGTTATCTTTGACTTTAATATCTCACGAGCATTGTGTACCATATACCCACTCCTTCACAACAAGCCTATTTTATCCTAGAAAAGCTGTAGAATGAAATACAGACATAAAGGAATCATAACCATTCCATTAATGGTTTGTATTAAAGGACTGTCTAAGACCTGGACAGCATTATAACTTTAAAATTATTTTGTCTGTTCAGATTTATAACGATTTTACAGATACACAATTGATTAATAAATTTGGAATCATAGTTCTACAAAATCTTACCAGGTCGATAACATTATTGGAATATTCAGTAAGATTTAAATTCCTTCAGCTTTATGTACAAGTTTAACAAATTAGGGTCTGTAAAAACAATAAAGGCTTAGGAAAATGTGTCTGTTGGTGAAAATAAAGATATGTGAAATATTTGGTTGACTGCTATAAACAAATTTGGTTTAAAGAAAACTCTAATTATTTACGTCTCAAAGTGAAGCACCTTAAAACTTGGGGATTAAAATTTTCTGTCAGACTTGGATGATCCCTCACAGGAGGCCTCACACTCCCTGAGGATTAGCTAGGGTGTGGGATGGGGAGTTGGTGGGGAGCATGGGAGGATGGGAGGGAGAGGGAACTGGGATTGGTATGTAAAATAATTGTTTTTCATTTAAATAAAAATTTATTTTAAAATTTTCTGTGCTTAAAATTGAAACAGTAGATACTGTAAATACCAGTCAGTCTATTGTTATTACCTTACATGCGAAAGACTCCGAGTTGGACCCCCACCAATACTAAAATAAAGATAGGTGTTTTCAAATTTAATTTAAAAGGACTCTGTTTGAGATTTTTTTAAGTGGGTGAATCTAGAAGCCTAATTATTTGACCCATTAAGTGGCTCTTAAAAGCACATATCCCTCTAAGCTTAAAGCAATACTATCTTTTCTTTGACATTTATTTGGGGGGGGCGGAATTCAGGTTTTAGTATGCCTGCCCTCTATTCTTTTACCTTTATTTATCTGTCTTTAACAGAATGCAAACTTTTGGGGTCCATTCCCCATCTATATTAGTTTTTCTTTTATCAGTTCTAGCAATCATTTGCTTGTGTTTGGGAGAGTTCCGTGCTGCCTTTTGCAGGGAACATCACATTGTCCATTCTTTTGGTATTCCTCACAACCCCATGGGACAGGCTATTGTGGAGCGCACCCATGCCACTCTCAAACAGTATTTTAAGAAAATAAAAAAGGGGGAGTATGTTACCTCCCCCAATATTCAGTTATCCACCATACTTTACATTTTAAATTTTTTGACCATAGACCGTAATAATTTGTCTGCTATGGAGAGAGATTGGAACAAACCCTCCCAGTCCTTGGGATGGGTCAGATGGAAGGACTTAATTACAGGAAAATGGCAGCCACCCACCCCCCTATTAGCTAGGGTCCGAGGGGCTGTTTGTGTTTTCCCTCCAGGAAGTGAGAAGCCTATTTGGGTCCCCGAACGGTGCATCAGGCATGTCGACCCCAATACTACTCCGGATACTAGGAATGCTCACCATGATAAAGATGATCCAACCATTGCTGAACACTCAGGTAAGGGAAATATGGGCGTTGGTGAGTATTCCCCCCCATGTTGATGCCAGTTAGTCATTCCAGCTCCCTGTTCATCAAATTTTATAACACCAATAATACATTGGGAGCGGCTGCCGCCAATGATATTAAAAAGTCAGAAACTAGACATTCTGAGTTTCCCCCTCCTAAGCCTGATACCAGGGTCAAGAAGTAGGGAAACCCAAGAGATTGCCAGCGGCATACGCCTTTAATCCCTGTGGCATACGCCTTTAATCCCAACACGCCTTTATGAGGGAACATCCTGGGTTGAAAGTTGGATTGAAAATGGGTGAATAGCCGGGCGGTGGTGGCACACGCCTTTAATCCCAGCACTTGGGAGGCAGAGGCAGGCAGATGTCTGTGAGTTCGAGGCCAGGCTGGACTGACAGCCTCAAACAATACAGAGAAACCCTGACTCAAAAAAAAAAATTGGTAACAGTAAAGAGGTACTGGGATTAAGTAAAGAAAAAGAAAAAGACAAAGGTATATAGAATGGAAAATTTTGTTTACATTTAAGTTCTATTTTGTGAGTCATCTCTAAAAACTTTTGGCCAAAAGCCTGGCCTCTCCACCTCACATCTACAGAGTTACAAGGAGTAGGTACAGCTGTACCCCATGACTGTAGCTCAAATGGAGGAATGATAAAGAACATACAGGACTTTTTAACCCTTTTAGTTCAAGGATTGGCTGGAGTTGTTCTTTTACATAGATTTCAATTAAGGAAGCTTCATTGCAACAGACTAATCATGACCTAGGGAAAAAGGATGACTGAAAGATGCATGTATGTTCTGAATGTATGGTGTGGCCACACTGGTATGTATGAAATGTGATTGTGAATGCATGAGTGTGAACTGCTTATATGATTAAAAGGATACTTAAATCCCTTCAAAAATAGTTAAGAAGCTACCTAGATTGCTTTAAATATAGACAAAAGGAACATCCAGCCAGTCTGTTAATGTTTTAACAGAAAAATTTAAGATGCAAATGAGGCCTTGTCAGCTAGTGAGAGCTCTACAGGTTAGATTGGGAAAGACTGCTCACAGACTTCAAATAATTTTCAAAAGTTATTTGGACACAGTATAGTTTACAATCTTTGAGTGATTTTCAGAAGTTTTTGGGAAATATTTAATGGATATGTCCTTTTTAATGGGCATCTACAAATAATCTAAGTAGTAATCCCAATTTACCTAGATAGTTAACCAAGGAGGGTAGACAAATCCTTCTACTGTTATGGTCCAGCTTCAACAGTTAAAATAAATTTTTTTAGAAAATAAAAAAGGGGGAATAATGTCCCCAGTCTCCACATGACTCATCAAATAATACACTCCTCATTTAAAAATTTTATAATGTGAATGCCAGTGAGCTTCAGACAGATTCTGGCATGATGGAACTTGAGCAACTATTGCTCAGGTCAAATGGAGACATCCATGCACTAGACAGTGGAGAAGACCCTAATTTGGGGTCGAGGGCATGTTTGTGTTTTCTTGCAGGAAAAGAATAAAGCTTCCGCAGCTGTCAGACCATTTAGTGAGATGCATGGAGCAGAGAAAAACTGGACCTGAGACCATGGGAGCCTAAGCCAGTTTGAGTGAGATCTCCTAAATCAGTGTTCCTGACCCTTGATGTCATTGAATCTAGAGCCCAAGAAAGAAAGAAAACAGTCGGTTCGAGATTTCCAGTTTCTCAACAGACCTGCTGCATCAACCTTCCGGACCCATGAGTTTTCATCGTGAAGCCAATAGAGAAAAAAGGACCCATTTAAAACATTTGGACATTGGTATGGACTGTGATGAGGGGCAAAAGCCTCTTTTCAGTAATTGAACAGGACATGGTCACTTGAAATATCAGACTTGATGGTTCCTGTTTCTGGAATCGTGCCTAGGCCAGTGTATTTTTCTGGAGAAATGCAACTTGTCCTAATGTGACAAAAAGGAGACTTTGACTCAAGTCGCATAATCAGCTGACGTTAAATCAACAAACTGCATCACCACAGGAACAAATTGGTGCTCTGTGGATAGTGCAACAAGCCTATTGTTCATATTTTTCATAATGCTACATGTGTAACATCAATGATTGTACCTAATGTATCTGTGCAAGTGCACTTTCTAAATGCTTTCCTGAGCAGATCTTGAAACGATTGTAAACTTTATCAAATTGTAAATGTAAATCACATGCAGGTTACCCTTGTAACAGACGAAGGCTGATAGAATGTTATGGCCCAGATCTGGTGATGGGTACGGTGATGGAGAGGCGCTATGTCAATGGGGGTCCTGGAAATGGTGGCAGTGGCAGTAGGCATTCTGGCTTTATGCCGAGCTCAAACGTGCCTTGTTCCAGAGGCAAGAGACCCGTAACCAAAAGTATTGCTTAGCTTAGCCCATGGCAATCCCGATAGCCATGAAGGTTGGTTACAGATGATTTAAAGTTGGGGTGCTCTGATGACGGCCAACCTGTGGGGAAGACCCCTCCCGCCTAAGACAGGGGTTCAAGGTCCCCCAAGGATGGGAAAGGGAGGGTGACCCTACTTGACCTAAGCCAGGAGTGCCTCATTTAAAAATAAAAAGGGGTGAATTGTGGGAACATCAGACCTTGAGCAGAGACCCACTTCCCCTTCTGCCTGGGAGTAGGCAGCTGTAAGACAATGTTTACTAAAAACATGTTTACTAAAAACAATACAATGCCTGGGGGCATTAAGTTCCTGTAAAAGGCCTGCCCACAGAAACCACCCTGACCTCGACCTTGTCCAAAGACTAACCACCTCTTCTGCCACGCCCAGATCAGTTTCTGGGGTCAGAGCAGAACCAGCCAGGGGAGGGGAGAGAGCAGAAGCTTCTCTGGTGGGAGCCTTTCTTAGGAAGTTTTCTTGAACCTTTTTGGAGCCTGCTTAAAGTTTTCTTTACATCGTTGAACGAGTCTCTGTGTTGTCAATCCCCGACACCCTCCGCACGTTCTCGGACACAGGCCGCGCAGCAGACGCGACAGTTCCGTATTTCACTTTATTTCTGGCTTTTCCTGTAATACAATGATTGCTGCCTGCCTCAGCTAACTAACCCATATTCCTGTAGTGATAGGGTGATATCAAGGTTAGTAAAAGTGCAGTTAGGATCTGGTCCATTTCAAGAAGCAGTACGATGTCACCATTGCTAGGGTGAGGAAACTGGGGGTTACAAAGTGCATGGAGGAGCTGATGCCCCACCAACAGCAAAGGTTAACTCAGGTGGTAACCACCCCTATCACTCACATTCCTCTCTGCACAACCAGAGCATCACTCCTGCTGACTGACTTAAAGGGTTTCCTGTTTGGTGTATGGTGATGTAGCATGAGATACTTGTGAAGGGAATATGGCAGAACTTCAGGAACTGAGTCTTCAGGTTTGTGACAGCTGAGGCAAAGCAGGGAGTAAAGGGGGAAGGATCCCCAACTCTGTCTAGTCCTTGATGAAGTCTTGTCCTGGCACAGTCTAAACATTTGGAAACATAAACACTGTAATTTCACATAAAGATGGAGCATGGGTGCCATTTTTCTTCATAGAAAGACCTCTGGGGAAGGACCCTTGGCAAAAGGTCACCAACGCAACTCACCATTCCTTGTTCTCCTTCCTCATCGCCTAGATTGGTAGTCTCATGTTTTACTTTGGTGTTACTAGTTTCTACCCCAGGAATGTACGTCTGGTGTAAGCTCTGTCTTGAGCATCATTCTATTCTTAGTTCTCTGAATACTTCCTAGCATTTGGGATAATAAACACTTCTTGAATGAGTGACCCACCCCAAAGGCTGGTGAGCTGCCTTTCCTTATCCTATGTTCTATAGAAAAAAAACCTTTATACTGTTGTTATATTTGTTGTTATTTTGGACAACTTACGAAAACAGATTTTTTGATGAAGCAAAGTCTTTACAGCATCTACGGGTGGCCTGAGACTTCCTGGCACAGAGTGAAGGGGAGACATAAAAGACTTTCCTATTTGGGGCTTGAGATCGCAGTTTACTACTTTTTTACTAAGTTTTTCATGCTGTTCCAAAAACAGTTTCCTTAAAACACAACCATATAACCATACAATTGCAAGAAAAGTTTTATTTCAGAAACCGTGCAAAGACATTTCCAAATTGGTCTGAGACTCAGACGTCTGAAAACTCCCTGAGTGGCATCTTATTTGTATTCTCAGGGTTCAAGTCTGGAGAAGTAGTGATCTCTGTACCCTCATAAATGAGGTAGAGAATTTGTATTCATTGGCTTTCAAACTTCCAGACTTCACCTTGTCTGTGTTTGTTAGACCTCTCGAGATATCAGTGACTCTTGTGTCAACTAACTCTGCAGCTGACTATTGACTGACTTTGAAACTCAAAAGCCACAGTCACAGAATGTTGTTAGACTAGAAAAGTGCCCTTAATTCCAGGACACATGGGCAGAACATTGTGCCCAGGGGACCATGACACATTTGTAACTTCTATTCCAGAGTGCACCACCCACTCATTGCTCAAGGCATACTTTGGACACTCACACCTGTCAATTTAAAATCTTAGGTAACAAAATGAATACCCTGGTTCTCAGGCCTGAAGAATGTAATGATCTCTTTCCCTGTGACATGCATATGATGAGGCAGCTCCTGGGCTTGCTGGAGTTCTGGAATGCCAGGGAGCCTTCTGGGTTTCATTGTCTGTGTTTCAGTTCCACGGACATAGGGGCTGTGTCACTGCCTTCATATTTAACTTATGTCTCAGGATTCCTGCATTCTCTCCTTTTTCTGTTAGATTATGCCTTTCTGTGTAATATTGTGTTAAGTTAGTTCTCCACTTGCTTCCATTTGAGATTCATAAAAATATGAATAAGTCCCTATGCTTATTAAGTCAACTTAATCCCTTTCCTTTGTAGTGAAGAATCATATTTTGGGCCTATTGTCTAAGCTCAAGTGTAGAGAGGAAGATATGTGTTAACTTGTGAGAAACTTGGCGTGGCTAATGGTAGAGCTAGGATTATATGAATTATTTTTTCTACTCACCACTGGGAGTTTCTTGGCTTACATGCACAAGGCTCTGACTTTTTAACCTAGGATTGTATGCAGTGGTTCTCAACCTTTTTAATGCTGTGACCTTTTAATACAGTTCCTCACGTTGTGGTGACCTCCAACCACAAAATTATTTTCATTGATACTTCATAACTGTAATTTCGCTACTGCTATTAATTATAATGTAAATGTCTATGTTTTCTGATGGTCTTTTGGGAATCGTGACTCACAAATTGAGAACTACTGATAGAAAAGCATGTTGTTTAGTTCTTTACTTATTTAACATAGCAAGTGGCATGGTGATCATGCTAGGCTATGCTAAAGCCACTATGCCCCTCTCCTAGTCTCTGACATCTTTAAAACCATGGTCTTAATGCTATTTCATTTTAGAAAGCTCACAGGAAGACTTCTGATCTGCCTTTTGCATCAAATTTTCCATACAGAAATGTCTCAAAGAACGGGATTTCTGCACATGCAGATTTTTCTGTATCATATGAGGATGGTATATACTTCAATAAAAAAATGAGGATTTGAGGCTTTTGCATTCATTTATTTTTCATTGTGGCAACAAGATTAACAAGTAAAATTTAACATCTAATGATTACAAGTGATGGCAAGGCCATGAATCTTGAAGGTATCCACCAGGAAAATAAAACAAACCATTCTCATAGTATAGGCATGAAGCTATATATGACTTTGGAAAATTATGATTGGTCCTGAATACCGGTGGCATGCACAATATGTAAAGGGAATTTGTTGCCCAAAGTACTTTCAAAGCTGTAAGAAAGTGAGGCATTTAAAGTCCTATACTTTAACAAAACTGGAAATACAAACAACATGACTCAGATGGCTGTTCCTCAAACAAAGGTCAAAAAACAAAGTTATGAGCAAAGGCAACGAAAAATGAGAAGGCTTTTTTGGCATGAGTGGATGCCCATCAAATCACACTTCTTCTTCTGATTCGTGCTCATGCTCAGCACTTTTCAGGAGTCCAACTTCCGAGGTGCAGACCTTCCTAAGTCTAGATTTAACTAACCTGGGGAAAAAGAAAATCATTTCTGGTTACATGATACCAAGGTTCAAAACTTTAGAGTAATATACAGATTATTCCTACAACAAACAGAGGCAATCTCCAAAGTGAAATTGTTTCTATTTGACTTTGAGATACCTGAAAATGTGTATAGACTACAGCAAGGTCTAAGTAAACAGAAAAGATGTGTCTTTCAAAATATTATGAGATTTCTTAGTTGTGCCCAACTGATCACTTATAAAACAAGCAGGAGACTCTGACTGTGACAAATATGACATTGGTAGGACATCTGTATCAAACCCACAACTACCTATGGATTGCAAAGAGATGTCATTTTCTGTAATGAAACACATAACCTTTCCCTGGGTGACAGACCAAGTGAAGGCATATGTTAAATCTGGGCTGAATTTCTCTTTATGAAAAATTTCTTCAGTCTGTTTGCATTCTGATTTTTCCTTTCTTTCTTCCCTTCTCTAGTTAAGTTCTGGCCTGTTATATTCATACATTATGACATTCTTTGTGCTCTGGATCCCACACAAAAGTGCATAGACTTCATCTCATTTGCTGGTGTAACCCTAGCAAGAGTCAGAAGTGATTCTAAGCTAGGACATTGACTCATTTGGCACATCACTGGCATGTAGAACAATCTGACAGATTATGCCACTAATCTGTGAATAGAGGCTACCAGTTCTTCAGCCACTGGCAATTAACACTAACACCTCCAATAAACAGCAACTGAGCAGAATCGATAACCTCAGTTGACTTAACAGCCAAAAAAATCTGCTCAGTTGTTTTCCTTGATTATTGATTACTGAATTTGTTCATATGTTCTGAACACTCCAAACCACTTCTGTTTTGAAAGACTAATTGATGCTCTGTAACAAATTAAGGGCTGGAGAACATTTGTGTCCTCTTACAAAAGCCCACACAATCCTTTCCACATAGTCCAATGCCAATCCGTGTAAGATGAAAGGGACTAATCAGTTATGTTCATTTTTGAAGACTCATGTGGAAAATGAAACATCTTGTGCCTTCTTACTGGGAATGAAATGTTAGCATAGACCCAGTTGCTCCACGGCTTCCTGTGGTTTCTCTCTGGGTAGTATATGGTGTGGCTATAAGCCATGAATCTCACACCCTTATCAGGTTCTGGGCATCTGTAACCCACATGTGAAAATGGCCCTGTGAGGCAGGGTGAGAGCTAGGTAATAAAAAGGAACCACAGCCTAATGTGATGGCGCACACCTGCGAACCAGCACTCGGGAGTCGGAGGCACGCGGATCTCTGTGGCCATCCTGGTCTGCATAGAAAGTTCTAAACCAATCAAGACCACATACCGAATGACACCCTGTTTCAAAAACAAAATTCCCTTAATACAGCACCCCCCAGCCCAACACAATAAGTAATCAATAAATGAATTCTCAGGCACAATTGCCAGTTACTAGAATGGGGGACATTTTGGAAATCAAGGTCAAGGTGTGTCTGTCTTCTTGCTTCATGTTTTCATAAATTACTGTGAAAAAGAGTAGAGCTGGCCGGGCGTTGGTAGCGCACGCCTTTAATCCCAGCACTCAGGAGTCAGAGGCAGGCGAATCTCTGTGAGTTCGAGGCCAGCCTTGTCTACAGAGTGAATTCCAGGACAGCCTCCAAAACAATATAGGGAAACTCTGTCTCGAGAAAAAAAAGAGTAGCTGATGCAAGAGTTACTTCTAAAAAACATGTGCCTGGCGTGTTCGCAAGCCCTGCACATATTTTATATGTAACATATTAAATATGCAACAATATTTCCAAACAGATAGGTTTCATCTATAAACTTACATAATCAAGACTGCAGGCAGGGGATAGAATGAGGCAATCTTGGACCATTATTTAGTAAAACTGGAACATTTTGTATCATCTTTCAAGAATTTAGGGAGGAGAATTCTATAACTTAGATGTGCTTGTGTGTCAGTCATTGTGCTATGTCAAACAACTTGGATATAATGTCCGACATTTAATGAAATGACTTGTGGATAAGCAACCACTTCACAGGTAAACCCTGACTAAAGGAGTTTCAAGCCTCCTTATCCTCAACTTTAGTACCAAGTTAGTTTTTCATGTGGTCTCACTGAAAGGCAATACTGAATCTTTGTAGTATTTTAAAATGGTTGCTTAAATACATATCAAAATAGTTCAGGGAAAGTTAAACTTTTAGTCTTATCTTTTCAATATAAATATTAAAGGGAAATCAAGAAACATATAAAATACAACTTCCAAACAAATGAAGGGTGTATTTAAGCACCTTTGAAATGGAGACCTAGTAAACAGCTAACAAATGTTAACTGAGCACTTATTATATGTGTAGCAATGTGCCAGTCAGTATGGGGATATGAAAATGATCGTTTTAACATGGGACTACAATCTAGCTGTCAGGGAGGGCTAATGGGGACAAGTAGTCAATATCACAATTGATGCATCACAATAGCGTTTAGTGCAAAGTACTACCAAAGCTCAGGAAACATAATCGACATGGGCCAGAGGCATTATAGAAGGTTTTAGAGAAGAGATGGGCATCTAGTGTGAATATACGAGGTAAAAGGGAACTGTCTGGTAAAAAAGATTAGAATAACATGCAGTGGGGATTGGGAGACGTTGAAAAATAAAACTGGAGTTTCTTGTTTCTAGGAACCTGTAAGTGGATAAGCCATTTATTAGGCATCTGAAGGCTTTTGAAACAGGAAGAGACAGTAGTCTTCTGTTGGCTCTGGAGGGGAGCTGACACGAAGCAGAGTTTTTCCTTGCATCCTGGAACTGTTCCTGAAGACTCCCCAGCCCCTAAGAAGATGAGGCCCAGATGTCAGCCTGGAACAACAGGGGAAGAGAGCAAGACTCAGTAGCCCAGCCAGCCTTAACAGTGAGCTGATGTGCATGCTTTGGGGAAGTGAAGAATGAACAGAGCAATTGGAAGGAGGAAGAAGGCATCTACAGAGCAAAGTGAATGGCTCCAAAGCCCAAGTGGGTCATCTGGGAGCAGGGCAAGGCAACAGCTCAAGTTTCTTTTTCTGGTGTGCCAGTGTCACAGCTGCTCCAGCGCCAACTTCAGAGCAGGAGGGCTGACCTGAGCCCATGACTACAGGATGCAAATCTGGTTGCAGTAGAAGTTGACAAACCATGGGACCTAGAAATAGCTTCCACATTCTAGGGATCTGGAGAACCTGCAAAGTGTGCAGCTCTATCAACATACTAGTATTTGGATCCACTGAAATTAATATGGATTGTGTCACATTATAAGTTCTTGGGACTGGAGTCCACCATGCTGAACACTACATACACATTGCTGCAGTTAGAGTATTTTATTCAGCGCATCAGTCTGAAGAATTGAACGTTGGAGTCTGCATGTCCAGTAATTAGGATCAGTCAAGCCCAATGTGCTTTGGCACTAAGCACCCTAGGAGCCATGATCATCCTCTTTCCTTCTTGATCATCTTTTGGACTCACATTGCCTTTCAATTTGTGAGGAGCCTACTACTTTCACTCACTGTTCTGCATTTTGATTGTCTACCTCTCTAACTTGCCCTGGTTACGGGACAAAAACATCCCCCATGGGAAGGTCGCCAACTCATATTCTTATACCAAATAGAGAAGAAGAAGAAGATAATACAGACAAGAAGATAAGACCATCTGGTGAGTTTTTACATCTTTAGGAACATAAGTAAACAAACTCATTTAGGTTCTATTTTCCCTATTTAGTAAACAATAAGATTCATACTTATTGTGGTTGAGTAATGACTGAAATCATAGCCAATAGACAACAGAACTAGGAATATGTGTTCTCAGTAATCTGCTATGTTGCTCCTCTCCTGATCAGAAAGTTAGATCAGAATTCTTGTATAAAAGAGTGCATCATTTGACTTTTGGAAAAATTAGAGTCACTGTCTGATTTAATTTGATTTGTATACATTTGTCAAAAAAAGGTCCTAAGGTTATGAAATGGAACAAATAAAGTATGCACGCATAAGTAAGTGGAGGTCTCACTGCACCTAGGGGAACTGTCCATCCAGAATAGAGAATCATATATGTGAAGAGAAAGAGATCCAGAGAGGATACTGTAGGATAGAGCATGGGTCAGAGGCACAGCCATCAGACCACTAAACCAGCACAACTTTAAGTCAACAACGTACATTTTTGCTGACCATTTTTTTTGAGTCGGGATAATTTCCTAATACCCTAGTCTGTCTCATGAGGAGGTAATAATACAATTTTCCTTTTGAATTTGAATCTCAACACTGCCAAGTTTTGATGAACATATGTGAAGGAATGAACCATTCGGTTTTTTTTAAGTGCTAACTTACCAGGTGATAAAAGCAAAATTTAATCCTGTGATGACAAAGATTGATGCATAATGCCAAGAAAAGCACATGGTGAGAAACATTTTATTCTCAATATCTGACAGATTCCATTCAGGACTTCCACTGGGAGGATACAGGACAAAAGCAATCTGCAACTCAAAACAAATGCACATTAAAAAGTTCATAAAGGATAGCATATTATCCAAGCACATTCTCAAGTAAGGCTCATTTCAAAATGTTGGCTAACTAAGATGATTCCCACTAGCTGAGGCATCACAAACACAGCACTAGCTTTTTCTGTAGTCACTCTCTACCAAGGCATATTTTTGAAGAATAATTTTAATTATATTTAATTATCAAATTTCAAAATGTTCATAGTGGCCACTCTGACCTTGAGTGCCCTTTCAGAAATCCATGGAACTCTACACTACACAGTCTCACTCTGGGATTTCAAAATTAGACAGCAAAATGTTTTTAAATAAATAAAAATCCAAAGATAATATAATGTTAAATAGCAAAAGGTTGGAACTTTCTCCTCAGGATCTGGTACAACACAAAGATATTTTCTATTATCACCTCTATTGAACGATGTTTTGGAAATTCTAGTTAGGAAAATTAGGCAAGAAATATAAAATACACTCATTTTGGAAAATAAATTGTAAAATTATCTATACTTACATATATTATCTTAAATATAGAAAATCATAAAGAACCCATTCTGATTATCAAACTAATGAAGGAGTTTCACATATTGAAAAATTGAAAATCAAGACAAAACTATAACATATTTTTCCATACAAGCAGTAAAAACCCTACAATATAGATTAGACCAACACCAAAGTGAAGTATTCAAGACCAAAACAGGAAATGTAGCTCTTATTTAATTTGATTTGTATACCCTTGCCAAAAAAAAGATCCTAAGGTTATGAAATGGAACAATTACTCCATAAGTAAGTGGAGGTCTCACTGAACATAGGAGAACTGGCCATCCAGAATAGAGAATCATATATGTAAAGAGAAAGAGATCCAGAGAGGATACTGTAGGATAGAGCATGGGTCAGAGGCACAGCCGTCAGACCACTAAACCAGCACAACTTTAAATCAACCTGTACATGTACTAGTATTTATAAGGCACTACTGTAGATACCAGGCAACACAACATGCAAGCATGCACACGCACACACACAAATGGAAGAACTTTAAAATGTATATGCCAGAAGCTGCATGAAGTTGGAGAAAGAATCAAGGACCCAAGAAAATGAAAAACCATCTCAATTTATGGACTAGATGTCTCAAAATTATTGACATGGCAAAAACACTCAGGGCAACCTTGAGAACCAGAGCAACAGCTACAAATATCCCAATATGGTTTTTCACAGACTGTGAAAATGCTAAAACATCACTGAATTGCTTAATTTAAAATGGCTCATTCCATGTGTGGTTATTGGAATGGGAATGCCCCCCATAGGCTCATATATTTGAAAGCCTAGTCATTAGGGAGTGGCATTACTTGACAGGGATTAGAATGTATGTCCCTTTTGGTGTAGGTGTGGCCTTGATGGAGGAAGTGTGTCACTATGGGTGGGCTTTGGGTTTCAAAAGCTCAAGACAGGACCAATGTCTTTCTCTTCCTGCTGTCAGTGAATCTAGATGTAGAACTCTCAAGCTACTTCTCCAGCACCATGTTTGCCTGCATGCCACCATGCTTCCTGCCATGATGAAAATGGACTGAAACACCCAGGGCTTTCAACTAAATGCTTTCCTCTATTTGTCATGGTCACGGTGTCTTTTCATAGTAATAGAACACTGACTAAGACACCATATTATGTGAATTTTATCCCAATTAGAAGTAATGATTTGTAAGTACAAACACACATGGATGGATGGATGATGGAGGATGGATGGATAGACAGACAGACAGACAAATAGATAGATAGATAAATAGATAGACAGACAGACATGATAGACAGACAATAGAGATAGTAGAGAGAGTACTGTCCATAAAATCAATAACAAATACATATTGTCTCCTGGAATATAAAGAAATCAGGGAAAAGTTATTAGCAATTGTCTTTCTAGTTGTAACTAACATAATATGTTGGGAGGAAAAATCACATCCCTGAACTAGTTGATAAATGAAGGGCATAGTACTAAGACCGGAACAGAAAACTTTGATCCTCCTCTCTACTTTGTCAGGAGCTGATGCAAATGATGAGTTGATGGGGCATGTTTTCACCCACGATTGCCACTTTGGAATGCAGGCCTAAAGCTGCCAGATATTTCTGCTCTTACTAAAAAAAAAAAAAGGCTGAGAAAATAAACACTTTACTTATGTTTCCCGTGTTTCAAGTATTGGCAACTAACTCAAAATGTAATCACTGAAAATTATATGTTGCTCAGGGCCTCTTGATCTCTACTATGAACTGTTCAGGATATTTTGTTGTTGTCTGGTTTTGTTTACATTTTTTATTCTTTTGCTTTTTGGGGGGTACAGGATTCCCATGAGCTACCCTGATTAACCTCAAACTTCCAGCTTCCAATGATCTACTTGCCACAGCCTTCCAAGTAGCTAGGGCACAGGCACACCCCATCTTGCCTGCTATAAACTATGTTTAGTGTTAGTAGAGTGCTATATTTTCATGATACCAGCTTACCATCCTCGCATTGCCCAGGGTAGAAGGCTATATCGTGAAAGAGAACATGAGTAAAAGAAAATGGAGATTTTGGAGATTGACACGCTTATTTGGAACCATGTCTTTCAGTAGTTCTGAATATTGAGAAGTTACTGGCATCTATAAGTTCCAGTCTTCCCTTTAGGAATACAGGATATAACGAATCTCCTTACTGGAATTGTTTTTAAGACAAAGGATTATTGCAAAACTTAAGTTCATGAGTGAAGGTAAAGTGTGGCATCAGAGGGTTTCCTTATGCATAGAAGTGGTGGTATTTTTCCTAACCATAAGCAATCTATACACTGGAATACGTGGTCACAAATCTTAACGTTCCCTGGTTTACTCAGATTATTTGAAATTTCAGTCAGAAATTAGATCATCTTACTGTCCTTATCATCCGGATAATTCAATGGTTCAATGATTGCACACCGTCACGCATTTAAATGAAATCTTACAGAAAATTAAACAAGTATTCTAAAATACTGACTGAAGACCTGGATTTCATTTCATTTGTTTAAAAGTTTGAAAGTTTGAAAAAGTTTGGAGACAATTAAAGAAAACTTAGGGCATTATAAATGGGGTTTAATGAAAAACTCTTTAGGGGAACTCAGGAGATCTGAACACTGACTGAGATTTGGAGAACAAAAGCTTTACTGATAAAGTCTCAAATATAGCTGGATTGACTGCTGAACTATATGAAATAGTGGCAAAAATTGACATGACTTAATAAATAAATGCCATTAAAAGGGAACCAAATATTTTGCACATGATAATAGTAAACAGGTTCTAAGAGTCTTTCAGGAAAGGACATGACCTAGTCCTTTGGGAGATCATGGGTATAAAAGTGCCATCTCAAGCCGGGCGTTGGTGGCACACGCCTTTAATCCCAGCACTTGGGAGGCAGGGGCAGACGGATCTCTGTGAGTTCGAGGCCAGCCTGGCCTACCGAGCGAGTTCCAGGACAGCCTCCAAAACAATACAGAGAAACCCTGTCTTGAAACCCCCCCCAAAAAAAGTGCCATCTCATTTAAAAGATTTTATGTGGAAAGAAAAGACCTGGATTACTTTTATCACAAAGGAGCACTAGGGAAATTGTTTCTCTAGAATTTCCTCTTCTGTGTTTAGCTATTCAGGAGCAGAGGGGCTTCTATAGCTATGACCTGAGTAGGCCAGGGACACCAAACTTCAGTGGCTTCTACAGAACTCTAGTTTTGAAGGCATAATATTTATGTAGATATTATCCAGCTAACCCTAGTGGATGAGACTTTGAAGCTCCCCTCCTGCTATCAGAGAAGTCCTGGATGCCAGTCACAGTGTCAAAGGATTTAACATTTGTTCTGTTGGTTGTGGTTAAGCATGTTCTGTACTACATTCCTTCATTTGGAGATGAGAATACCTGGCTGTACCATTTAATCTTAGATATCTTTCTTTTTCCTTTCTTTCCTTCCCTTCTTTTTTTTTTCTTTTTCTTTCTTTTTTTTTTTTAAAGGGAACATAGCTAATAGTTTGCATTCAAGTTCAGTAGGAAACCCTGGACTTCAAATTAGCCACAATGATAGAAGAATTCCTACTTTGGAGACTTTGGAAGTGGGCTGGAAGATTTTTAACTATTAGGCGTCCATGAGCTTTCAGGGTTTTGAGATGACCATTATGACTTGGATCCTGTGTCTTCCAAAAGCTCATGTGTGGAAGCATGTCAACACACATGGTGCTGGACCAGTAGCTGAGAGGTTTACATCCTGATCTGCAAGAAGGCAGATGCAGATGAAACCTCAAAGGCCATCCCCAGTGACATACTTCCTTCAACAAGGCCACACCTCCTCATCTTTCCAATCCTTTCAAATAGTTCCACTCCCCAGTGAATAAGCATTCAGACATATGAGCCTGTGGTGGGGTAGGGTAGGGAGGGGGGCTATCATTCTTATTCAAACGGCCATATTCCACTCAGTCTCAACCGTTCAAAATCTTTTCTGAGACTCGTGGAAATATTTTAACTGTAACTCCTTATAAAATAAAAAGCAAATAATATACTTCTAACACAAATGACACAGAATACATATTATCATTCTAAAAATGAGGAAAGGATGCTTAATGAGGAAATACTGGACCAAAGCAAATCTGAAAACCAGATGAGAAAACTCCAAACTCTGCATCTCCATGTCTGATGTCAAAACACTCTTCAGATCGCCAACTCTTTTCAGCTTTGCTGACTGTAATACACTTCTCTTCCTTGGACTGGTACCACCCCTTGTATATAGCTCTCCTTGGCTACACAACTCTGAGGATTCCAATGTCTTAAGGTTTCCAAGGCAGTCCAGGCTTCACAGGTTCGCTCAATGGCCTCTCTGAGCCTCCATGCAGAGATTTCTGACACATACCTGGCTTCAGTGGCTTTCATTAGCTATGGGAGGAGATTTCACAACCCCTTTCTTGTATTTTTGATTTTAAAGCCAGAACCACATGGCCAAAGCTGCCAA